ATAATATGATTTGTCACGTGTTGGAAACACTGTCCCAAGCAATGAATATGATAAATAATGTACAGTCGATGATTAATCTCGATGACAAGGGAACAGTAGAGGTTTGCTAACCCAAATTCAGGGTCCTTCGCGTGATTACTCGCGGTCGTCCGCGAAAATAGCATCGGGCGCAGATGGACGCGTGCTCTCGGCCAGGTATACAGGCTTCTCGCACGTTTGCGCGTACGGGAGACCGAAGTACATGAGTTTCTGGTGGTTCGAGATGTTGAATCATAGACCAAGCCACCCCTTTTCGCCCCTCTGCCTCCCCAAAAAGCCGTTCGGCAACCAAAATAGACGCGTCGCTATGCGCTATCTTAGCGAAACGCGATGACTCACTAGTGACCCATCTTTTCAGATACCAACGTATAATTCAGAATCTTTTAACTCGACCCTCAAACTCAGAGTAAAAAGCGATTTCATTGCGAGCTTCGAAATTAATCAGTTTTCATATCGTTCGTAAGAAAAGTATTATAACAAGTTATACGCGTACGCCTTACATTCTTGATAAGGTCTTTACCTTTAATAAGAGGGAAGAGTCATGTATATATTAACCCGCGAGCGATTAAACCGGAGTAGATTCAGTTGCTGCGATTACGAAAGATCAGCGGCGCGAGTTTTCGCGTGGCTCTCTCACCTCGTAACTCGAAACCGAACTTATTGTTCCGCTGCATACGATGCTTTTCGCCTGGCGTAATGTCTGAATTACACGCTCGCGCGACTGCATCTGACCCACAACTTCCAGTGTCGGATTCAAACGGAGCTGCTAGATTCTATATTACAATTGATTAACTATTTCATTAAATGTATAATAGCATTTTTCGTTCTGAAGAAATCTTTTAAATTACTATTATAACTATTTTATTTTGCATAAGAATCCGCAGTTTAATCATACAGCAAACTAATCTCTGTAACGTCTAAACCAAAATTAATTTGTTACGTCCGATATTAAAAATATTATTGAACTTCGAAATCTATACGAATATTTATAATGGAGTTCACCGTATTTTGATAATCATTGTAATGATGTTCAATCTGACGCAAAGAGTGTGTGCCACCTATTACGTTGAAAAACACGTGCACCTTGGCGGTATGCACGCAGTTGGGCTGTCTCGCTCCGATTCGCCCGGGCGCGGAACGTTGCCTATAACGGTTGGACAAGATTTTTCCGGGCGCGTATCGCGTAACAAACAATTAGGAACGAATCGATGGAAACTGTTGCACAGGGTAGAGGTAGCCTAAACCGTTTTTAACGGGGAACGAATTTACGGCCACCGATCCTCGCTAAACGTCCGAGCTAATAGTTCGTCTGGCACGTACGCGTTGCCCGTAAATCGTTTCATTGTCGCGTTCTAATTTATTGCAACCTGACCTTCGCTCTGTTCCACAGTGAGGACTTGTTTAATTTACCACCGACACTGAACCCGTCGTTACTTCAAGAATGTTTAACTCCTATTGTTAGTTATGACGTGTTTCAAAAATTATTCATCCTACATAATAACTACAGTTAAAAATTGTTGAATGCTCCAACTATCGGTTAAAATTAATTGTTAATGCGTGAATCTCTGATCGTAACAGCAATGTTCCAAGAAATGTGCAGTCAATGAAATAATTCTTGACTCTGAATGCATTTAACAATCTAAAAGATTAATTCCATATATACGAACAAATCCACAAAATACAAAAAAAAACAAGAAAAAGATAATTAGACGAATAAAAGAATAAAATGTATTCGTACATTGTTGATTATACAAGAAATATTCAAGTTATTAAAGTAAAACAATGAAGAGACTAATATTCCCTTTTTCAATTGTTGTTTCTCGAACTCTTGTATGCATTGCGTATACTTCCTGCAGCCACTGTAGCATTACTGCGTGTCCTTTAAAAGCCAAATCGAGACGGGTTCGTTATCGAACAAGTCCTTCGAGGCATTGCATTCACGCGTGAAAGTGTGCGACCCGCAACATTGGAGCCAGCTTCTTTATACAATTTTCAAAAGCGAATTTCTAACGCGAATCTTCGCTTCGACTGATAATTTTATTGTTGATATAATTAATGTATAAACCAGATCAAACTAGTTTTTTCTAGCAAAGATCCCTTCTATATTTCCAGTGACAATTCTGCATTTCAGCAGTCTATCCTCGAAATTTTTTAAGAAATACGGGACGTACAAATGTTCTATATTTATTTTTTAGTCCCGTATTTGCATATTATATGTATATACAAATTATACAGCATCAAATAGAATAAGAACGTGTCTTTTGTTTCTAATTTCTTTTTTTAATAACAAATTATAATAATCGTATATTTATACAACGTGGGCGTATTCATTTTTAACTCTTGTAAATTTTCGTGATTGATAAATTTCGAGATTATTTTCTTACGTCATGAACACGTTATTTCTGTTTCTTGTTCTTTTCGCTTTAAACAATTCTTTTTGTTCAATTGTTTTTTCTTCCTTTCAATAAATAATTTATGAAATAATCCAAGTACAAAAATTTTGTTATTTCTTGCTATTTATGTTATACTGTTATAATTTCCACCTTCTTTTTTATCTCCGATTTAGTACTAAAAAAAATGGTTACCGTAGTATAAGTCATCGATTCAGAATTATTATCTCACTTATTGTAATGCGTGTTGCGGTGTATCTAATTAATGTTCGCCTGGTGCTACTGTACATGTTATCTCATTCTGCTTTTGTTAAAAAAAAAAAGGGCGACCAACCCGTTTATGAATATAAGAATAAATTGACTGCTAAGCAGCAAGCATGAAGAAAGTGTGTAATGGGTGCAGTGTAACGCGATGAAGACATTAGGGAGGTGTCTCTCGTGTTATCTTCCCAACTACTTCCTCAATTATAACCTAGCCCATCCTGAATGTATGCTAGCAATTTCATCCGAAACTTCGAGCCATTGTCGTACGAAGAGAAAAAAATAATCTGCGATAGGAGAATTGCTCTTGATTGCAACAAGAAACGTTCTCGTGCGACGTGTCTCATAAAATCTCAAGGCAAGAGAGAAGACGTTGTCGCCTGGCATCGTGGGAAAGAGATCGAGCAAGAGAATTACGTATAAAAAAAGAAAGGGAGAAGAAAATGAAAAGAAGAGGACGGAGGGAATGGGAGAAACGTGCGCTGAATGAAAGAGGCTGAGTGCACGCGTTCGAGATGGAAGGAGAACGAGTCGGAGAAAGGGGCTGGGGAGTGTGTGGAACGGAGGGAGGACTGCGAGAAGTGCGTAGATGCGTGGGCGTCTCTGTCAGTGAGCGCGAGAACGCTGCGTGAGCCGCGGCGCGCGTGCATTTGCGGCTCCGCTCGAGATACCATTCCTCGTCTCGCGTTATTTCGTTACTCGATTTCGCCCGATCCAACCGATAATAATCACCTGTCCCAGGGATTTGAAAAGAATTTCTTTGAGTAAGAATTAAGTTTTTGCCAATTCGAATGCAAATTACCGGCCTTCCATGGGGAGCTCAATTAATTGTGCCTCAATTTTCATTATAGGGTCTTATTTTTGTTGTTGTATTTCGTTTGAACAGCTAGCAAATTGATTAAGAGATTTCTAGAATGCAAAGCATAATAGAACTAACACTATTTAAAAATGAATAAGTTTTTTAGAATCTTAATAACAAAAGGGGGAATCGGCATCCAAATATATAGATTTTTGATAAAAGTCGTGAAAATCGCAATTTTCTCTACTTTACGTAATTGTAGTTCATAACAATAATAACCAATTTCGATGAACTCTTTAGGATGTACTCACATAAATGACAAAAATGTGTTTTTTTTTTTCAAAAAATTTTAAAAAATGATTTAGAATCCAAAGCATAGTAACTACGATTGTTACTTCACTTTATGAATTGTAATATTTGAATGAACCAAAGCGCCCTGGACATTAAAACGAATTTTGTCTTGACTCTATGGGAAATAAAGATGTAGTTCTTTTTCCTAAATTTGTGGCCAATTTAGTGGATAACATTAACGTTCTACCATATCGCGTCACTATCGGACTCTATCCCCTTAATCCTACTGCAGTATCTGAAAAAAATACACCGTGACTAGAATAGAAAAATGAATTCTTTCAACGAACATACATTCTAGTGTATCTAAAAACGCACGTGTTTCATGGAATACAGAATAGATCATCATAAACGTCGCTGTTCTCCGCCGATACCAGAAGCTCCTCGGAAAGCTTCCCAACGTTTTTACATACACATAAATCTGCTCGTGCCTCTCGCTGCAAGTAGACGCACTCAACACGAAACACGCGGACGGATGTGCCAAGAAAAAATATTATGTAGGTACCACGCATCATCGGCAACGGAAATTGTTCCTTTCGCCCGAAATAAACGCGGACGCGCGATACACTAAAATCTGAGAAACGTAATCTCGACGATGCGATGAGTAACGTTACCAGTGACGTGTTCTTTAATTAAAAGCAACCCTTATAGTGGTCTAGATCAAAGCGATACAGTCATCTTGCTACTAAAATTGAAATTTTGAATACCTTAAGAGAAAATAAAATTATGTACAAGGATTCTCATTGATATTAAAACAACTTTTGATATCGAATATATTTTATGATATAGTCACATTTTATGATATGATTATTGATAGAAAATATATTAGTGAATATTGCTAAAAATAGAAAAAGGTACTTTTTTCGGACTGTGATTCATAATTTTTTCGCGTACCATTCATTGGTAGTCAAAGCAACAAGGTTTCAAAATCTCCGAGCTCGATTCTCTGTCCGAATTTTCTCGGAAATAGAAACAAAGAATGAATAGGGTAGACGAATATTTTCACCCGAACGATTAATCCTGACGGAGGGTGTGAAAAAGTTGGTACGGTCCCGTCCTGGTTCCGCTCACGCGGCGTCGTCGACGACGGCGTCGAGACGCGGAGGACCCCCACCGCCGTTCCCCGATCTCGTCAGCCTGCCCCACCAGTCCGTCCCACGTCCTCGTGGAAGGCCGTGTTCGTTTTCCGCGGCGGCATCGGCCGGCAATTCGCATTCGACCGACGTCTTGGTTTAAAGAGTCTCGGGGACAAGACTTTTTGATGATGACTTGACTTCTGCCGACTGGAGTGAGCCGCGGCCTCATAAGGGCAGCATAAACGTTCAATTACACGAATCGTACGAGAACGTAGAATAATCGTAGAACGATAGATCCCGTTGAAAGAAGAATCGAATTTTGCCTACTTAGCAGCCGAATACGGAAGAGGATTTATCAGTTCAATTCGGATCAAGTTAATCACGAGTGACACGACCTCTTGTTTTCGGTTTTCATTCAGTTTTCTTTTGCGCTTATCCGCTTGTATTTTTCGGGTTGTTGTTGAGTGCCCAGTGAAGGGAAAGTTTTTACGACTCGGGTGAGAACAAGGAGTAAAGTACGGGGGCGAGATTTAAATCAAGCCCATCCGCACACCGATTTTGTGACCACGAAGAATTCCACAGTAACGATCGATCTAAACGACTTGGATTACCTCGAGTGATCCAAGATGAAGCGACAACCGCCTCAGCAGCAGCAGCAACAGCAGCAGCAACAGACTAGCATGCAACAGCAACAGCAACAGCAAACGGTCATGCAGCAACAGCAGCAATACACTCAACAGAGGACCGAGCGACAGGTCACTCGACAGCAGATCACCAGTCAGCAGAGAGGTCAGTTAACGCTCTTAAAAAGTGTCCAGGTGCTCATCGAATTTCCAACAGGCAGACTGGAAATTGTATAAAATCAATGAGAAAACTCGTCCTGTAATAGAATCATTGATGTCTTAGATTCAAATCTGTTGAATTCAGAAAAATATCTTGCACGGTGAAAGTCTTCTGAAAATAACAGTACTTCGTCCTCTTTTTATTTAGAGTATGAAAATCTAAACATTGCGTCAATCTCTAAATCATTTAAATTCTTATGGTTAATGAAATGCAGTATAACAAAATTTTTGTTCAATTCTCACAGTTGTACAATTTGTACAATTTTCTATCATCTAAACAAACAATTAACTAAACATTTCATTTCTGGATTATTTCAACCAAGCAACGTTCTTCTCTGGATTGAATTCTTTCGGTTTAATTCTTAAACATCATAATTCGTCGGATTCCTAATCTGAAACGAAGTCGGCATATAATAAACCGACGGATTTCCTAGACGAGGCATCGCGTATCCCCTCGACGAATATTCTATTTTCGAGCGAGAGCACCGCCCCTGCGCGAGCTCTAAAGATAGTTTTCCACGTTGTTCGACGCCAGCGTTTCGAAAATTCCTGCACGCGCGACGTACATATGTACGCGCATATATACGTGCGCACGACATGTAAACGATGCGCCTCCGTAAGGGTCGGCCTCCCCGAAGAGGGTTGACCCGAGGATCGCGTAAAAACTGCCGCGGCAGTTGTCAAAATCGTATTTCTCCGGCTCCGGCCTGCTCGACGCGGCGTATCTGTCACTAGCCCGCGCACTGCGTCCCGGCTGTCTTCCTTCCCTGCCTGAGAGAAAGGGACAAGGAAAAATGCAGCTTCTAATTTCGCCCAGACATGCTTTTCACTTGGGCCCCTGTCTCCAACGCTCGTTAACTAAACACTGTTGCACGGTGATAAAAAATTTAACTCTGGTAAACAGTTTCCTATTAACTGCGACGTTAGGAAAGTAACTATTTATTATATTCAATTGAAAAATCGTAAATGAGGTTTTCGGAAGTTACGGGAATTAAAAGTTAATCTAGTGGAATGCTATGGAGGTTTCAAGGTTGAATGGAAAGTAACGGAAAGCTGATGACAGCATCTGTCATAAGATTCTGCTTTCAGATTGTAGCTGCTACCTGAAAAGTAATGATCAAATCCGTGTCGCCATTATTGCTATTAACTAGTCATCAGCACATCAGTTCAAGCACGAATCATTTCTGTATCCAGATTACTAAAGAAATTATTCTCACAAATTCAGAAATATGTATTTCAAACATTTTTAAGATTAATACACAACATATTTTAATATCACTACACTTAAAAATTGGGAATTATAGTTGAAGTACAAATGATCTGTAATAAATTAATGTCTGACAAAGCAATTAAATCGTAAGTTCCAAAATTAAAGGAGTCATTCAATTCTAAGTTGTGTACGAATATTTATGGACTTCACTATAATTCACATTTCACGACAAGGATACTGTTACTCGACAAACCCCAACACGCCTTAACAGCCTCGCTTTGAAGTCTCCAAGTCCAAATACATTCCTGGCGCAGGGTGACAGCTACGCAACAAAACTCACACGCAAATCAAAGAAACAAGTCAATGTGCAATTTGCTTTCTGGTAGCACCTATTAGAGTTTCTTTCGGTACTAAAAATGAACATATAATCGTTTTCTCTTAAATAAACAATGCACGTATCTAATAATCTTTGACCTTCATTTTAATTTTTACGTCTATTTTTATCCATTCAACAAACATAATGCATCCAATAAAGTGTAGAGATAAATAAAGTTGAATAACTAATTGACCGAATCAGATTATATAAAGTTATTCTCAGTCTATCTCACGTTTGAACGCATTACATAAATGATTCCCATGAAAGAGCTTTCCTTGAAGTTTCCCTTTTGTGCATTCATTCGCTGGTTATTCTAAGCGACGAGAATTGATGGAGCGCGACTGGACGAAATGGTAGTTTACGCGAATTCCGCGGAGTACAAGGTTGGAGTGGGTCCAATATGGGGATGAAAATACCGTGGCGTTGCTATCCTGTTTACGTTTGTTGCGCGATCCCATGCGAGAGCTTGCCAGGAGGGAGCGAAAAACGAAGTGGAGGAGAAAATAAGGTCTCTGTTTTGGTTCGTTGGGCAAAAGGACGAACGCGAAGCCAGTGTGTCGTTCCCCATGATTCATTTGACCGAAATAAGGCTGCTCTCGCGTTGCTCCTCGAATATTTTCAGAGGTTTAATCACCGCCGATAGAACCCACTAATGCCCACTTTTTTCGATCCACGCCCACGCCTTCATTGTTTAAGAAATAGACACGTCCCATACTGATTTATCATTCAGATATGCTGTATTCAAAATTCGTGTTTCAATCAGACTTTCTTAGAAGCAATATATCTGACTGTTTTTCTATAACAGTCATAACTAGACAGAAGATGTCTATGCACATATAAGTGCAAGATATGCAAATACTATAAATTTTGTAATGTACAAAACTATCCAAATACCAAAGGTTGCATATTTCATTGTCTTAACGATAAAATAAATATTTATCCTCGAATTGTCTAAATAAATTCTGCATAAAAATCTGATTATAGGCAATATTTTACTGTTTCATGTAATACAGTAATTATTTTACTGATTGAAATATCGTGCATGCGCCGATGTAATTTTCAACCGGTCATGCATTTCTTCCTCCGGTTATGTGGTAGGAACAACCGTAAAGAAAGTATTCAACGTAATTTTCCGTGGGTCACGGTTGCAGTCTCATGGTTAGGAATTTAAATACGCTTTACGGCGTCCGAAACAGTTTTACCTTCACACCTTTGCCAATTGCGTCTTCGTGTAGATATCATAGCTGTCATCACATTTAATCAAATTCGTTAGGATCTCACGTCAGTCAATGATTAGCTAATTATTAGTCTGCGAATTTCATGCATTTATATCAAAATTAGGTATGTAAAAAATGTAAAAGATACGTACAGTGGACAAAAGTTTATAAGGCATCAACAGAAAAATGCTTGTTATGTTTTTTAAGAGATTAAACGACATTGTTTCTATATCTCATTTCTTAAATTGTTAAAAGTTTGTTAAAAAGTGTTCTAAAACTATGGATGTAAAATAAATATTAGTATAGCAATGTAATGAGTTGCAGTAAGTAATCATCTAAATGAATTTTATTACACTGTGTTAAGGAAGTCATGAACTGGAAATAACGTTAATACTGTTTTCCTCCAAGGCTGTTATTAAAATTGAATTTACTCGAGCCAACAGGTAATTTGCTGAGTTATTAATTAAAGCCTTGTCTAAATCGTAACATAAATTGCTATTTACGTTCCTATTACATTTATAATTATAACTATTTGCCTCCACCATACTATTCACTCTTTTAACTTTCTATTTTCATAAAAAAATTGCTGAAACAGTTTTTCAAAGATAGCGAAATCTGATCATAATAAACGGAAGGCTGCTACGTTTGTCAAAATGGAATGGAACGACAAAATACTTGGAATTCGCAGAGCAAATATTAATAGTTGCGCAATCAGAAAACAACGCGTCGATTCACTTTCGACAGTCACAGCTGTTTTTACGGATTCCGTGGAACGTCTCCCGTAAAGTTAATTAATTTTGGGGCTACCTAGATTTCATTGAAAGGTTGATAGATTTCGGTTACCTCGTTTGGACCAAAAATATCGGAATCTCGTTACATCTGCGTGATTCACGATTTTAATGATAGTCAAGTCTCATTGCGAGGATACTTAGAGCTTGGCAAGTCAAGGGGATAATTAATATAATTTATGTTAGTGCAATCTGAATAGTTTTCAAAAAATAAATTGAATAATTTAATGAAGCAAATAACAAAGAGTGTCACATAGTTAATAAATCGAGATAATTCGATAATTCGACAACTATTTTTTAATAAGATCAAAATGTAACATGTCCCTATTGTTCTCACAATCAGAAAGACTCAATTTTTTTTAACAAAGAACGTGTAACATTCATTTCTCACGAGGTAGGCATAGTAAAAACACAAATGATAAGAGTATATGTTCATCAGATCATCAAGAAGAATGTCACCTGTATCTCGATAAAAGTACAAATATTTGTAACAGAGATCACTGATAAGAAAACACTGCCACGATTTTTACACTTTCACTGATCACTCCCATTTAACACTAGCAATGTTCTGCAATCTAACATGTAAACAGCGAATATTTATGCAAAATAAAACATTTATGGTATCAGTTTAAAATATGTGTCTCAAATGAACATTTATTTTATCATTAAAACATTGAAATATGCAGTTTTGTACATTATCATCAACATTAATAATCTTATTTTATTTAATAGTTTTCATATAAATGAATAAAATCAATTATCAAACATGAAGTTTACTTCCAGAAGTAAAAACGAAATTTTGCAGATTTTCAAACAAAAAAAATTATTTTCCATATATAACAAAGTTCTGGTCAATTGTTATTTGTGACAAGCATAGCGCCGCGGACTTCCATTCTTGTGATGATACTGGTCTCTAAAACTTTGCTAAATTATATTGTCCCAGAGCAATGTCAACGGACGATAATTTCCCCTTTATTGCTCCCCTTCGGGCCACTCGACATTGACTCGGGGCCTGCCAACAGAGCCGAGCTGGCTCTCTCGGATCGGAAGAGTTGCCAGCTGCGGTATCATGTCTAAAAAGAATACAGGTCGCATGTGGGATGCGCGAAGTCGTGTATGAAACGGTCTTCTTCGCTAACGAATCCGCGAAACCGTGACAGAGTCAGCTGTTCCAACGATGCTTAATCATCATTATTAATAAGACGGCTTGGGTTACAGAACATCAAAATCGTCAATGAACCGTTTTTGATCAATCGAGCTGAATAGTTAACGAATCTATTATTAAAATGAAATATGGTTCGTATAAATCTGTAACCAAATGGCAAAGTATTCAATGCGTTTAAAATTCATAATTCAGACATAAAAATTAATATTCATTATCTCCCATTCGAATCTTAAAAATTCGAATTCGATTAATTTATTATCGCAATTGAGAAGAATCTGTCATTTTTTACTTCAAATACTAAAAAATTATTATTATTCGTTGAACTTAGTTATATGTTTAGTGGGAACGAATTAAAACGTCCGTCAAGTGTCAATTAATCACTCGCGTCACTTCCTCTTGACTGCACCCAATCCAAAGGTTGCACTTATCTAAGAATAGCCACTTGACAGGATAAAATGCCTAGACAAATGCTATTAAATTCGTATTGAAATTTGGGTTTTCGGAAGTCTGTCTTATTTCTGTCAAAAGTAAAGACTGAACTTAATGACTTTCCGTTACGTCATTCGAGAGAACTCTATCTCTTTCGAATCAGCTGATCGAGCTGTCAGTCGCGGTAAACAATAACCTGACTCAACAGTGCGTAAGTCGACTCAACAGAATCAAGCTGAGGAACACAAAAATATTTGACAGTGTATATCCTTATCAAATTAATAATTTTCTTGTTGCTTGACATTTTTACATAATTTTTACTTCAATTCAAGTTGCATTTAAATTGTCAATCTAATGTAATAATGACACTATCAGAATATTTGATAGTGTAATAATTTTCTTTTCCGTATGCTCATTTTTAATTGACATCTGAACATAATTTTTGCTTCTTTTGCTAATTTTGCTAAAAAATATATTTTAAATTGTAATGATTAGTAGACGTGCATTATGTTAAATGTTCAACAATATGCTCCGTCAATTGAAATTTGTAGTAAACCATGGAATCTGTTATTTAAATAACAATTTTCATTCGTCCAAATTTTCTTGGATCGTAAGTCCCATTTATATGTTACCGTCGCCTGTTCCACCTACACTCGACTGGCATTTGCAATAAATATTTATAAATATTTGTCCAATCTCTGTATAGAAAGAGAGAAAAATCGCGGAACGGGGGGGGGTTGATAGGTGGAGGAGGAGAGGATAACAGCAGTTTGGAGCTGTTTTATTTTGGTCAGTGACTGGCTTTGCGTAACGTCCACGCCGATTGGTCGAAGGTGCATGTAGTCCGGCCGGCGCGGCGTAGACGCGTCGCGTCGCGGCGCTGGGCGCCGCGCAAAGATAGTTGCTCCTAAAATGGCCCACGGTAACGCGATCCCTATCTCGATGCAAAAATAGGATCCCGCGGTTATCCGACCACGTTACGTTCATCTCGCTTGTCGAGCCGTGTTCGCCCGTATACCCTCTCCATCTGTCATGTCTCTTCAGCCTCAAATGAGAATACCTTTCTCCTCTTCTCTTGACACCTCGTTCCTCCTCCACTTTTAACGAATTGCGTGCACTTACGTTTTTCAAAACTTGGACACATGTCGTATAACGATTTACCAGTTTTTTTTATGGATGCATCTGCTTGTTTCTATTTAGGATTCATCACTTTATATTATAGAAT